ACTACTACTGCCACTACAACTTCCACTACCACTACCACTACCACTACCACCACTACTACTACTACTACTACTACTACTACTACTACGACTACGACGACGACGACGACGACGACGACTACTACTACTACTAACTACTAACTACTAACTACTAACTACTAACTACTAACTACTACCTACTACCTACTACCTACTACCTACTACCTACTACCTACTACTACTACTCCTACTCCTACTCCTACCACAACCATTACTGCTACAGTTTCGACCACCACCAACAACACGACGGCCACTGTCACTATCACTACCACCACTACCATCACCACGATCTTCCCACTACCACCACTACCACTGGCCAGTACGACTACCAATATGACTAGGACAACAAAATCATTGATCTCTTGACTAATCACCCTGATCATCTGAGCATTGTTTGGCGTCTCCGGGGTGTTTGTTCTTTTCGGCTTTCCTCACTGCTCCAGACTCTGGACTCCTCCGCCCGACAAGTCACAGCATGTCAGGCTGCAAGAGGCACAGCCTGCCAGATGAAGAACCAATAAAGATGTTGTTTGTACACCTGCAAGCTGCAAGCTGGCTCATGTGTCAGGCGTGTCACATCAATTGTCACGATAGCCTGTCAGTACAGATGCCCTTCCTTCTTCCAAACAACCTAACCTGTAGTTTTGGTGTGGTCGTCATTCACCCAACCACCCACCCTGCTTGTAGGTGTGCTGCAACCCTCAAACGTGCTCATGCTGTTTTTTCTTGCATTGTTGTCAACACTGTCCTTGTTTTGTTTATTGTTGTTGTTGTTGTTGTGGTTGTTGTCGTTGTGGTCGTTGTGTCGCTCTGGTCGTGCTTGTATTAGTAGTAGTAGTAGTCGTCGTCGTCGTCGTCGTCGTAATCGTAGTCGTAGTCGTAGTAGTAGTAGTTGTTGTAGTTGTAGTTGTAGTCGTAGTAGAAGTAGTAGTAGTTGTTGTTGTGGTGGTGGTGGTTTGGTCATCATCTTCATCGTCATTTTCGTCGTCATCATGTTCATGGTCCTCAATGCTATTTGCCCATGATGTAGTACACGGACGTCAATGCCAGACTACGACACTTCACGTGAAAGTTTTGGATTTTCCGGGCTTGAAAGGATCACAAGCGGGCCTTTTTTCCTTCTCTTGAGATCAAAAGCCTTCAGGTGTTCACACCTCTATTCACAGACTCCCCCTCTGTCGCTCTGACAGACTGGTGGACATGGAAAAGTCCAAAAGGAGGCTCAAGGCTTTGTTGCAAGGCTTTTCGCCTTGTAATATTCGGCCCTCATCTTTTCGATGGACCAGCCCTTTCCAGAATGCGCTTTCTGGAATTTGTTCCACGGATTGGCCGGGGATGGTGATCTCTTCCGACCTCCATGGTGGCTGGTCTGAACCACCGCGCGGTGCAAGCGCTCGGATGCCACCATCGCCTTCTCGGCGACATGTCCAGCCACCATCGCCTGCTCGGCGGCTTGTTCAGCTGCATGCGCTGCTATCTCAGCGCTCTCGGCTGCTTTCTCGGCCTCATCAGCAGCGGCACAAGCTGCTTGGACCACACGCTCACTCGGCAAATCCAGCGATCGACTTGAGCTGGACCCACCACCTTTCTTCTGCCCCATAGTTCTGGCCATAGAGCTCCTCAATCTCAAACCCCTTTCTCCACTCTTGGTTTGAGCTTCCAAGGTGGTTTCTTCTTCACTGCTGGGGCTATTGTCAGCCTCGTCTTCTGTTGGTGAAGCTTCACCAACCCCTTTCTTCCTTGTAGTAGAGCTCCTCGATCTTGGTCGCCTTGAGGGCAATGGTGTGGTTATGACCCCTTCCTCAAACTCCAGCTCATCCCCTGAAACGTGCAGCTTGCTGGACAGCAATTGCAATCGACGGAGGCAACAATGCACCGAAGCGCAAATCGTCCTCGCAACCCAGATTGCCCCTATCACTATCAGCACTAGGCCGCACAGCCAGAGGTTGCCGAAGGTCTCGTCAGAGCCGGCACCACCATGCGCCTCTGCGGCTTGCACCAGCAAACCACCGGCCAACAAGGCCCGAAGAGCCACTTGGCGTTCTTGAGGCTGTGGTTGAAGCGGCTGTCCCCCACCCACCATTCTCTTCACTTGAACTTCACTTCGCAAGCCCAAGTCCTGCTGGAATCCAGTGAAGCTTTGACCCACGAGCGGCTTGGTCATGCCGTCTGCCACGAGCTCCGTGCCCTTCAAGTGGATGAGCTTCCAAGGGCCACCAGGAAACAGGCTTTGTCCCTCCAGAGCTTCTCTGAGGATATTGGAACGGACCCTCAGATGCCTTGTCCGCCAAGAGGTGGCTGAGTTTCCATGGGCTAACCCTATTGCGGCAGCATTGTCACCATAGATCACCCTTTCAAAAGTGTTGCCCACGAGCTGCTCCCCCCACATGGCACACAACAAAGCCTCTGTGGCTCTACCAGCATTCAAGGCCTCGCAATAGGAAACCAGCTCTGCTTCTGCGGTGCTGTGACATACGAAAGGTTGGGTCGAACTCTGCCAAGCCACCGGTGCACCAGCAAAGCATAGTACCAGGCCTTGCATGCTCTTGTGACCGTTGCCAGTGCCATAAGCTATATCAGCAAACACTTCAAGCAGCTTTTCGTGGCGCTGAACCTTGAGTTGGCTTCTGGCTCCCCATGGGTTGTGCATGTACCTGGGGTAGTGAAGATCTCCAGGTTTGTGCTTCACGTAAGCCAGGAGTTCATGGCCAATTTCAATCGCCTTGGCAGGGTTTCTGGTGACAAGCCTGCTCAAAGCTGCGACGCCATAGGCCAAATCTGGTCTTGATCTTGTTGACAACCAGAGAAGTGATCCGGCCAAGGCTTGTGCTTCCTTGATCTGGTTGCGATCGATGTCAGGCTGCTGTTCTCCGTCGGCCTCACTGACCTTGAAGTTTGGGAAAGCAGCTGCACGAGTGACTTGCCATCTGGCGAGGATTTCTTGCTCATACTTGTTCTGAGCGATGTGGTACCCATCTCCATCAACATCAGGGGCAATCTCAAAGCCACAAAAATGAACTGGATTTGCGCTGGAAGCCCATTCGATGCTGGATGTGGCCCACGTGGCTCGCAGAGCATCCAAAGCAGCTGAAATGCTCCCCTCTTCACCTGTCAGCAGGATGTCATCGACGTACACGGACATCAAACCTGACCAAATGCGTTCACCAGAGATCGAATCCACCTCCTCCAACCGCCAGAGATTTTCATCAGCGGTCTTGCAGAAACTCCCCCGGACTTCACGATCTCCTTTTTGCCTGGTCCATGACATCTGAGGCAGCTTCGTGTCTCTATACTGTGACCAGTCACGAGGTGATGTCGTCAGGCCGTACATGGCCAATTTGACCAACCAAACCTCCCCTTCTCTTGCAAGTCCCAATCGCCGGTAGACGGATGGAATCTCCATTGCAACCAGCTTTCCGTCTTCCCGACGAGGAGCGTTCAAAAAGGCGACACGAATGTCGGTTGCTGCCATGGCCCAGCCTTTCAAAGATGCCGTTCTCACTAGGGCTCGTACTTGGCAACCGTCAGCACCACCCGCGTAGCTATCAGCATC